CCTGAGAAGAACCTCAAGGAAGCCTGTATGAGTACAGTGGGGTGAGTTAGAGGGACAGTGGATGGAGAGAATATGGAGATAAGGGCGATATGGTGGTAGCTAGGTTTTGGAGTAGACAGGTCATGTAGTACCTTCCAAGGACATTTCAGGAAGTTGATTTTTTTTTTAAATAATGAGATGAGAAAACATTGAGAGATCTCAGTAGAGAGGTTATACTATGTAATTTATATTTTAAATGATCCCTGTGGCTACTTTGTAGATGGTTGCAGGCACAGGTTGAGCCTGAAATCCAGTTGGGAGCCTGTTTGCTATAGTACAAGACAAAACACTTGTCTCAGCCTGGGTACAAAGGGTGAGATGTGGTCAGCATCTGAATATATTTAAAAGGAGGGCAGAGCCTTGGCCTGGTAACTCAGTTAGAGCACTGTTCAGATACATCAAGGTTGCAGGTTCAGTCCCTGGTCGGGCACATGTAATCAGTGAATGAATTGCATAAATAAGAGGAACAACAAATCAATGTTTTTCTCCCTTCTCTCTCTAAAAATAAATAAATTAAATAAATAAATAAATAAATAAATAAATAAATAAAAGGAGGGTAGAAGTGATTTCCTAAATGAAGTAGATAAAAGGATGTGAGAAAAAAAATACAAATGAAGGATGGTGCTAAGGTTTTGAGCATGAATCCCAGGAGGAGTGGAGTTGCCATGCTCAAGATGTAGATGAAATGTGTAGAGGAGATGTGGGTTGGACATTGTAATTTAGATATACTTGTTCACATCCAGGTGGAGCACTATGCTACATTTGGATATATCTGAGTTCAGGGAGAGTTTAGCACCAGAGGTAGAAATACGGACTGAATGAAGTCTCCTATGGTGTGAGTACAGAGTAAGCAGAATCTTGGGCAGGTAGCCATCAGAAAGAATATTTGTTGAATGCATAGTTTCTTAATTCATGTCCCAGGACCTCTTCTTTTGAGAGTGTGTTTTGTTAGCTTGGGGATGACAGCCTGGGCTAGTGTATATATAATGCTGAAAGTGGACCCTCTTGAGCCTAGTTGGGGAACCACATCTGTAATATATGCTAGAAGAGATTTAATTGAGTGAGAAATAAAGCAGGACATTTTGGGAGTAAGATTTTAGTAACAAATAGAGGAGATCTCTGCATGTAATAGACATTCAGCTTTTGCTACAATTGAGGGCTGTGTGAAGTTAGTTGTCAATATGAACAATAAAGATAAGGAATATTTAGAAATTTAGGGGAAACGGTGTATAGTGACATAGAACAGGGGAATGATGGTATGATATACAGGAGGCATTTCTGGGACTCAGACAAAGATGAAGGTTCAAGAATGAAGCTGTTAAGTTGGAAATGTGCACTGTCAAAAGATTGGCCCAAAGCCTGCTGTGTGAAGGCCAGTTTTAGAGGTATTTTAGGAGAAACAGTGTGAACATAGATAAATGGGGTAATTTTTGCTAATGTAACTTTTAATTCCAGACTAACTATTGTGGATTTTGTTAGTGATTGAGATAGAATGGCCAGGTTTGGGAGTTTGATTTATGTTATCATTAGATACATAGTCTTAATTTTTACCTCAGTGACAACAATGTAATTATAAGAAACTACACCTAGTAGTTCTATAAAAGGAAGAAAAATGGAAGGTTAAACTGCCAAGGGTCTTGGTTCAGACAGAATTGTGATCCTTTAGGACCCCTTAAATGATGGAAACCCAGATGTTTGTGGAATTTGAAAGAAGATGCAGTTAGCGGCAAGATGGTAGGTTTGGGGATCATGACATCAGATACAGATTTAGGGATCATTAAATTGAAATGGGAACAGTTTAAATATTGCATATGAAGAATTGCAAAGTGTGACCAGAAAAGGTGAGTTTCCTAGTGTGATATTGTGATAAAAGAAATATATATTTGGTTCCTGGCACAAAACCCTAATAGTTTCCCAAGTGTGGAAATGCTTATTTCCCTTAACAGTATAAACAGTATTTAGTGCTCCTCCATGGACTTTTTAATACCCAAACTCTTAATGTTACACTAACTATAAACTTGATCCCATGATTTCATCTTTCAGTCTGCACATTTTTTCAAACATGATCTCATCCAGTCTTCTGTCTTGCATAATATTTATATACTAATGGTTTCCATATTGCTATTTCCAGTTAAAATCCTCCTCAAGATTTCTATAACCAGTTGAGTTTCTTATGTCTGTATTGGATATCTAAAAGCCACTTGAAGGTCAATATGCTTTGAAATGCACACTTGATTTCCCCACATTGAGAACTTCCATAATATTCCCTTTCTCATAAAAACACACTACCTACCTGTTCAGTGGCCCAAGTCAAATAATTAGCAATAATACCCGATTTCTCATGCTTATTGATTGCCCCATATTGAAGCCATGAGAGAGCCTCATCTTTTTCCTGTCTCTAGATTATATCCCAATTTCTTCCACCTTGCTCTCCATTGTTCCTTCAAACCACTTTCCACAATTTGTGCCTGCCTTCTTTATCATTGCTTTCTTGTTCAGTTTTTCCTGACCAGAATGTATGCTCAGTGAAAATAAGGAAGGTTTCTATATGCTCATGTCCAGCACAAAGCATGGTACATAGTCGTCATTTAATAAGGATTTATGGATGTATGACTGCGTCCCACATAATTTTGAAACAAATATCTATCTTCTGTGCTTGAGTGCTAATAAGAACTTGACTTTATTTTACTATCTCAGCATGCTTTATGAGGTCACATTTTGAAAGCAACCAAATGTGTATGTACTCATTTTGAATGAACTAACCTTGTCTACAATGACTGTTTTCAGCCCTGGCTGGCGTAGCTCAGTGGATTGAGCGCGGGCTGGGAACCAAAGTGTCCCAGGTTTGATTCCCAGCCAGGGTACATGCCTGGGTTGCAGGCCATAACCCCCAGCAACCGCACATTGAAGATTCTCTCTCTCTCTCTCTCTCTCTCTCCCTCCCTTCCTTCTCTAAAAATAAATAAATAAAATCTTTAAAAAATGACTGTTTTCACCTTTTATTTTCTTTGTTTATATTATTGTGTTTTACCCTTGTCTAAGTGATAACAAGCATATTTACTTGGAGTGTCTTTAATCTGAGATCACAATGTTATCAATGAAGTGTTAGACCACACTGAGCTGTTGGTGAAATAGTTTTATTTTATACTAAGCTCCTTGAAGGATTAATTTTTCTCTTCTTTCCTAGAAATCAAGAAAAATGATGGCCACCTACAGGGGCACTTCCAAAATCAAAGATGTCTAAAGAGAACAGAACAGTGCTGTGAACATAATACATTCAGACACATTGTTCATTGGAGTAAAAATAAATTTCCTTTAAGGCAAAATCATGATATATTTCACTTACATGGGAAGGCACTGAAATCAAATGTAAGTTTGACCAACCAGAATGGAAACTGTGAAGTGAAGAACCCAGTTGAGAATAATGGAGATGCAAAATCCTTCCTCTGTGCAAAAGACGAGCAATGTTGTATTGAAATAAAATTCTCTGAACATGGAAATTCTATAAACACCAACTCACAATTCATTAAGCATCAAAGGCCTCAAAAGATCAATAAACCCCATATATGCAGTGAATGTGGGAAAGATTTTATCAAGAAGTCTCGCCTCATTGATCACCAGAGAGTTCATACAGGAGAGAAGCCTCATGGGTGTGGTGTATGTGGGAAAGCCTTCTCTAGGAAGTCCAGGCTCACTGAACATCAGAAAACTCATATAGGAGAGAAACGCTATAAGTGCACTGAATGTGACAAAGCCTTCCCCAAGAAGTCACGGCTACTTGCTCATCAGAAAACTCACACAGGAGAGAAACCCTATGTATGTGACGAATGTGGAAAAGGCTTCATCAAGAAGTCTCGGCTCATTAATCATCAGAGAGTTCATACAGGAGAGAAGCCTCATGGATGCAGTCTGTGTGACAAAGCCTTCTCCAGAAAGTCCAGGCTCATTGAACATCAGAGAACTCACACAGGAGAAAAACCTTATGAATGCACAGAATGTGACAAAACCTTCCGCTGGAAATCACAGCTCAATGCCCATCAGAAAACTCACACAGGAGAGAAATCATATATATGCAGTGACTGTGGAAAAGGCTTCATTCAGAAGGGCAATCTCATTGTACATCGGCGAATTCACACTGGGGAGAAACCCTATATATGCAATGAATGTGGCAAAGGCTTCATCCAGAAAGGCAATCTCCTAATACATCAACGGACTCACACTGGTGAGAAACCCTATGTATGCACTGAGTGTGGAAAAGGCTTCAGCCAGAAAACTTGCCTCATATCCCATCAGAGATTTCACACTGGAAAGACTCCCTTTGTGTGTGCTGAATGTGGAAAATCCTGTTCACACAAGTCAGGTCTCATTAACCATCAGAGAATTCACACAGGGGAGAAACCATACACATGCAGTGACTGTGGGAAAGCTTTTAGAGATAAGTCGTGTCTCAATAGACATCGAAGAACTCATACAGGAGAGAGACCCTATGGGTGCTCTGATTGTGGGAAAGCCTTCTCCCACCTGTCATGTCTTGTGTATCATAAGGGAATGCTGCACGCAAGAGAGAAATGTGTAGGTTCAGTCAAGTTGGGAGACCCTTTTTCAAAGAATCAGAGATCATCACATTCAAGTGAAATCATACAGGAGAAAACCCCTGTTGATACAGTGACTGTGCACATGCCTCCTGTGGCAGCTCAGATGTCCTTACACATCAATGGGTTCATAGTAAATAGGAACATGGCCACTGTGGGACAGTCAGCTGCCAGAGACGTACCCTCAGCAGAACACAGAACTGGCACAGGGAAACCTTATGAATGCAGTGAATATGGTAGTACCTTGGGTGACCAATTATGTCATATTTTATATCACAAAAAGCACACAGGAGTACACTGTGATGCAATCAAAGTGGGAGACCCTTGAATAAAACCTTCTAGCATTATATGACTAACAAGTTTGTAGTGAGACAAGTTTGCATACAGCAACTGGAAGAGTTTTTCATAGAATGATAGACTCTATTAGTGCTGTTTCATGTTACATGCCATGAGTGAGCTCATAGTTGATAGAAATATAATGACTGTGTAAAATCATTTTCCAGAAATAAGACTTCAGTAGGTGGCAGAGAGTTCACACAGGAGAGAAATTGCTAGCCCATTGAAAGCATTGATGTGGCATGGTTGTCGGTGGTACATTCTGCTTCATCCATTGGCAGAGGAAACCCTAGAAATAACACTCTGGACACACTTAACTATGGAACATCTTCAGCAAAATATAAGAAAATGCACAAAGCAAATAAGGCCTGTGAGGATGAAGAAGACTTCAGGGGTTTGTGTCACAATTTTAACATAATTCTACATTAGATAATAGATATAGTGAGCATTTTAAGACACTATACTGCTCCTAAATTGAATCAGACTCCTAGTTGACATGTCAAGACTGCTTCATTAAAGGAGGTTGTCTGTGTTGCACACCATTGATTAAAGTTACAACACAGCGCACACTCCCCCGTTGGGGGTCATGAATCTTTTTTCCCATGTAGGAACATTATGTGATTAGCTCTTGCATTTCTTTGGTTCTAAATGTATTCACATTGTATTTTAGGTGACTGTAGTCCTTCAAAAGGAATCTGGATACATTTAATTCTATAGTGTAACAACATGTTTGGGTATGTTAACTTTATACATATCACCTGGGGAACATAGTTCAAAACTCATGAATAACCTATCAGCCAAGCTTTCACCCAAGATGATAGTTCCCATCCTGCATGCACACCACTCAGAAAAAAACTTTAACAACTATTTCCTTTAACTTGGTACTGTTTTAGGACCTATAGGTGATGACAGTGATGAGCAAAACAAAATGTCCTTGCTATCTTTGAGCTAGCAATTTTTTTAAGAGTAAATTTTTAAAATTTTTAGATAGAGGGGAAGGAGAAAGAGGGAGAGAAACATGGATGTGTGAGATACTGGCCTCTCATATTCACAAGTTGACACTCAACCCACCTAGCTACACCAGTCAGAGCTGAGCTAGCAGTTTTTTTAAAGGTAGATTTTATGCATATAGCAATTTTATCCTCCAGCAAATGTAATCAGAGGATGTATACATATGTTAGTTGAAAGGGACATACAGTAAAAGAACAAAATATCCTGATAATTTCCAGTTCAAGGGGTATGTTATTTGAATGGAGGGAAAGGATTCACTTAATTTTACATACATAAAATAGGGTATGAATACTTCTTAAAATTATTCATGTCTTCTCCCCAGGTTATAAATTCCTTGAATAGTTTATAAGTAATTGTATATTCCCCAGCACATAGCAAAAGAGAAGTGAATTATATGTAGAATTGAAAGATGGATGAAGCCAAATGAATGAGCTAATGCACTAATCAATCAAAATTACTTTCATCACTGAAGGAATAGAGCTACTGGAAAGAAATTGTAAGGGTCAATATTTTTTTCCTCTTTTTTCCTTTAAAATATTATTTTTGCTTTTTAATTTTTTATAAGGATCAGTATGATAAGAAACTTCTTAAAAATCCTAACAAAAGGCTCCTGTCAGAATATAGAAGGGGCAGATCAGAGGAGGAATAGACTCTGGAGAAAAAGCCCAATTAATGGAAAAAAATCACTCTAAAAATTGAGAACAGAAGAAGAGACCCTTTGGATGTCTTGTAGATGAACCCTCATATTCATTCCCAGGTCTATAACCTTTTAGAGTTGCCACAATTTAAAAGATTCCCCACTCCTCTGACATGATAAATTGAGACAAATCATTATCACTCCTCTTCTGGGAATGGGGCCTTTGTCCTCTCTTCTATACTCAGGGTTCTTTCCCTTGAACTAATAAAGATATCCACCTTAAAAAACAAATAAACAACAACAAAAAAACCAGTCTTAGAAAAAAAAGTAGAAATTTGCTATGAAGTGGCTGTCTCATGATTGAATTCCAAACTCCAGGTCTTTGAGTGATTTGCTGCAACAAAATTTTTTGAGCTGCACTGTGCCAGGCACTGTTGTAGACATCAGACACACTGGTGAACAAAAGATGCAAAAAAAAAAAGTCCTCTAATAGTATGCATTCAGAACAGGTGCTCTTCAGTAAACAATCAGAAGCAGATTCTTCAGCTCAGATTTTGGATCCTCTTCATGTCTTGTCTTGAAAATCTGCACTTCCTATCATGGCAGTCAGCGTTTTTCTCACTGAAGTTGTCAGGGTCCTGGAATGGGCTTCCCAGGACTGCCCTGAACCCTGAGAACCAGATGCTGAAATCACCTTTCAGAGGCTGGCATTCCAGGTAAATGAAAAATGTTCATGGGCCTGCTTGTGTGGCTTAGTTGGTTGGAGTGTTGTCCCATACACTGAAAGGTTGTGGGTTTGATCCCCAGTTGGGGTATGTATGGGAGACAACAGATTGATGTTTCTCACATCAGTGCTTTTCTCCTCCCTTCCCTCCTCCCCTCCTTTCCTCTCTAAAATCAGTAAACATATCCACAGGTGAGAATTTAAAAAAACGGTTCATGGGATAGACAATTTCAGGTTGACCTCTTTTAAGAAGGGCATAGCAACTTATATCATTTGCTTCACCCCATTTTTATAAAAAATTATAATTTACTAAGTGTGTTGTTTGCCAAATGTTAACTGCATATTTAGTTATTTAGTACCCAAATGCTCTTATTTCCATCTTCATGTATTATAGGGAAACATATGTACAGCAGGTCCTCAAATAAAGTTTTGTTCACTGTCCTTTTGTTATAATGTTGAGATGCCATAGGAACTTATCTCTTGTTTATTAATATCAATTCCTATGGCAAAATTGGTTTCAGTATATATTGCTTGGCTTAAAGCACAGCCTATTGATGACATTCAATGAGGATTTACTGTATACATGTGATCTTCATTCCTTTCTCCTTAGTACATGTAACCATCTACTGTATTGTATACAGTCGTATGTGGCCAACAGCTGAGAGTACGAAGGTCAGGGTTTAGGGTCTTAGTGGGTCACTCTGCCTTGTATGGCTCAGTGATGGAGAACTGGAGCTGGGGGTGGCTGTAGTAGTTGGCTAGAGCTGTTATAACAGAGCTCCACAGACTGGGGGGCTTAAATAACAGAAACTTGTTTCTCACAGTTCTGAAGGCTGAAAGTCCAGGATCAAGGTGTCAGTTGGGATTGGTTTCTTCTAAGACCTCTCTCCTTGGCTTGTAGATGGCCTCTGCTTTCTGTGTTTCCCCATGGTTGTCCCTCTATATGTGCCTGTGCCCTAATGCCACCTTACGAGGACAGCAGTCAGATTGGATCATCAGTTCCCATCTTAATGATTTTATTTTAGCTTAGTTACCTCTTTAAAGACCTAATCTCCAAATACAGTCACATCTTGAGGTCCTGGAGGTTATGACTTGAACACATGGATTTTGGGGGAAACAATTTAGCCCATATTTATCAATGATTATTTGTCAACAAATGCCATTCAAGTTTGGAAGCTAAGCATATTGGGCCACCTAATGGAGCTCACATGTCATCAGTAAATGGTGGTGTCTTTTCCAGGTTTGACTATAGGGTCATGTGGCCTATATCTGGGGAGATCCATGTGTGTCTGTGTTGAGAGACTGAAGTTTTTGAGACCCAGGACCCTTATGCTGCTGGGACAGAAGTGATGAACATTACATTACCTTCAGTCTTTCAAGTAAGTCTAAGTTCTTCAAAGGCCAGTTTTATATACATATATATTTACATATATAATACTACATATTATGTATAGTTTTATTGCCTGAATGATGGTGGTGATAGGAGCTTTTTTAATTCTAATAAGGTGACTGCAGGTGGGCTTCTTGATAGAGGCTGGTTACCAGAAAGGCTAAGCCCTGATTAGAATTTTAGAACTTTCAACTTCGTCTCCATACTCTAGGGAAGGAAGAGGGCCTAGAGATTTAGTTAATAATCAATGATTCATTTATATGATATATAGATATATGGATGAGATTCCAATTATATATATATATCATCAACATATATGATATATAGGTATATATCATCAGAATCTCATCTTTAAAATGTATCCATGAGTCAAGTAGGTCATTTTTTAAAAGTAAAGACATATATGTAACGGGGTGCAGCCAGGCCCCCCCCCCAAAGAGGGGATTTGTAATAGGGTCCAGACTTTGGGGTGTCCCAGGATATAGGATATTCTCCTCCACACAAGTCTGGCTGAGGAAGGGACACATGGAGCAGGGCCATTGAGAGTTATTTTGCATATCAGTAATAACAGGCCAGCTTCATACCACCACCAACCTTTCAGTTAACAGCTATTTTTTTATGTCAGTAACAGCAGACTAGTCTTCCATCCTGAGTAGAGCCAGAAGGTATGCATAACTTTGACCCAAGATGTAACTGGGAGGCAGCTACCTCTGGTTACTGGGCCACACCTGCCCGGACTATGTCAGCCAAGAAAGGGTAAGAATACAGGATTGCTAACAGGTGTAGCCAATTGTGGGAGGAGTCAGAAATGGGGTTGTAGAGGAAGACTCGCTCTGGGATTTAAACCCGTGTGCTGTGCAGCAGCCATGCTGTTTCTTAACCACGTGGTTTTGGTAGTGGAGAGGCAGCTCCCTTGACCACTGGCTTAGGAAGCAGGAAAGCAAGATGTAGTAGCCATGCAGAGCTCTCTCTTAGCGGTTTGAAAGAATGCAGAGAGATGGTGTAGGACTAGGGACAGACAATGAGAGACAATGGGAAACAATACAGAGAGGACAAGGCAAAACTGTGCAGGAAGAAAAAGGGTGAAAGGATTCTTGCTGGTGGGCCATGAGAAGGTGTCACATGGTTTTGTATTAAGAACTGGAGATCACAGCGACATGGCTGGGGACTGTGGGAGACCTGCCCAGTTGAGCACGGATACTGGGAGGAACTGGGAGTCTAGCCAACCTACGGATTTCTATTTCTTTTTCCTGGGATACAATACCCCAACTGGCCTGGTTGGGCAAATGGGGGAAGGAATGACTGTGTGTGTTTGTTGGTATTTTAAGGGGCTTTGGGATTTTAACGGTTGCATTCTGCCATTACTCTAAACCTGTATAACTTTTGAATAAATAGTTCCTTTCATTTTTTCCAAGCTCTGGCATTAAGATCCACAATTCCTAACACCTGGTGGTGGGCAAAGAGCCCACAGTGACAGGCCCCAGGGGAGAGTGCTTATTTCAGTAACAGTACTTGGGCCCCCACAACAGGTTCATTCGGTAACATATATGCATATATTTAATATCTATATATTATGTATATAATTACCAAAGAAGGAAGTTCCCTTTTGTGTTGCAGATTCCCTCAGGTTTTATAATTTGCTAAGAGGACTCACACAACTCAGAACACTTGTTTTCCTCAAGTTATATTTGTTACAGAAAGGAAAGAGATTGAAATCAAAGCTTAAGGTCAAAGCCACACCTAAAATGTGATTTAGGATGGGGGCTATGGATCACATGGTGTCAACTGGAAATCTGGGGGTGCTGGGGACTGAGGTCAGGCACATGGTGTCCTACTAGGCTGACATGATGGAGCCCCAGTAAAGACTGGACATCAGGCCCAGCTGGGCTTCCCTGGTTGGCAGAACTCCCCACATACTGTCACACGCTTATACTGAGAAAAGAATACTGCCCAGGATTCCCTTAGGGAGGACAACTAGAAGCTCTGTGCTTGGAACTTTCCTGGACTCTGCCCTTTGTGCCTGTTCTCTGGGCTGATGTTAATCTCTAGCTTTTAACCATAATGAACCCTAATTTGGTAATTTCTAGTTCACTGATTATCCCTTTCTATGCCTCTAATTTGCTTTTAACATATATGTATGTGTGTGTGCCTAATTTTCTTTTTTAGTTCCCTTTTCTTTAGGCATATTAAAATTCTTTATTCCTTATATTTTAAACACACTTATTAAACATGTCATATCATTTATTTATTTATTTGAGAGAGGGAAAAGGAGGGAGAAAGAAAGGGAGAGAAATGTCAACATCAGAGAGAAACACTGATTGGTTGCCTCTTGTAGGCACCTTGACCAGAAACCCAACTAGGAATGTGACCTGGTTGGGAATCAAACCAGCAACCTTTTGCTTTGCAGGATGATGCCCAATCAGCTGAGCCATACTGGAGCCATACTGGTCAGGGCAACATGTCGTATCTTAATTGTGGTATCTGTTTTCTCTGCCACCATTCTTATCCACCAAAGCTGGTAAGGCCCTTGATGAAGTATAGTACTATGTTTTATTAATCTTGATATCCCCCACAAATGTATAGTGGTTGGGCAATAGGTGCACATATACATATATATGATTCTTGGTTAGCTAGAGGATTCAGTGGCTGTGCATTATACAAATGTCTAATTTGCTGAAGACTGGATTATAACAGCAGAATATTCCAGTAGTACTTTCCTTCTATTACAAAATGTTTTTTTTAAAACTAGTTCTATTGATACAGCCTGTATGATGAGAATAAGCAAAATAACTTCCTATACATTCCTATTATATATCAATAAAAGGAAAACTCTTCCTATTAAAGATGACCACGTTATTACAGGAATCAGTGACGTTGCAGGATGCAGCCATGGACTTCACCTGGGAGGCATGGCAGCTCCTGAACCCGGACAAGAAGGACCTTACAGGGATATGATGTTGGAGAAATGCAGCAACCCAGTATCAGTGGGTGAGGACAGCTTCCCGGTGTCACTCAGAGGGTGTCCACTAAGCGGTCTTTCCTTTTAGCTGCTTAATGCTTCAGAGTCTCTGTAGTGTTCTCAAGTGGCAGACTCTCAGCTTCCTCTTTGGCTCCAGACAAGAGTATACAATGTTCCCTTTCCTGAGAGAAAAGCCTCTGCTTTGCAGATGTGAAAACTGTAGAATCCTTAAAATATAGCATTTTCCCATCATGATGTCCTAACCCAATTTCATGTGTCAAAGTCTTCTGTCATTTACTATGAACAGGGTATCAAGCCAGCAAACCAGATACATTCTTCAAGTGAATGAAGGAATGAAGGGAAGAACCCTGGACAATAGAAGGCAAAACCCATAGTCCAACCTGTCCAGTTGAGAACCAGCAAAGTAGGCCACCAAGGAAGGCATATTCTGGTCAGAGAAGGTGTCACAGTGTGAGAGTGTCTGAGGAAATCTAAATAGCAACTCCTTGTGTCCTTCTTCCCATCTGAGACTTTGCTTTTTGTAGGAGTTTAGAGGAAAATATACCTCTTTCCTCTTCTGAGATCTGATTCCAGCTGATCCTGTTTGTTTTATGTACATCTTGATTTTTTGGTTGTTTGCCAAGTTCTCATCTTTCTAGGTTTGTCAAATCATCTCCTTTTTTGTCCTTTGCCACAGTGCTTCTATTTCTTCCACCTCCATTGCTTGAAATTCTACCCTCCAGGCCTTGTTCCAAACAGAGGTCTTAGAATTCAGCACAGTCTTTAACTACAGCATCTCCTTGCTGCATTGGGAAATAGTGATTTCCCTTCCTAACATTCAACCCCACGTTGAATCCTTTGCCCACACCCTAACCTGACCTCTGTGTTTATATGGTTTCTTAGCATCTTGCTATAGACTAAATGTTTGTGTCTCCTGAAAATTCATATGTTGAAATCCTAACCCCCAAAGTGATGATTTTAGATTGAACCTTTGAGAGGTGATTAGGTCTTGAATGCTGTCACTAGAACTGAATCTGCTGGTGCCTTGATCTTGGACTTCTCAGCCTCCAGAAATATGAGAAATAAATTTTTGTTGTTTTGGGTTATAATAGACAGACTAAGACAATTGTCTTTGCCCCTCTCTGATATTGTCCAAAGGTTCTGTTTCCCATTTCTTGCCCTGTTCTCATAATCTTTAAATCTTTCTTCCATTCTATATAATAAGCTCACATTCCTAAATTCACATCTTAGCATTTTCTGATTTGCATACTTGTGCCATATTTTTTTCTGCACAGGAGCTCCTGAATGAATTCAGACTTTTTGTTCAAAGAACTTAATTCATCTTCCCTACAAGAAAGTATCTTCCACCTTCCTTTTTTTTTTTTTTTAAGTTTAGGGTCTTCTAACAGTAGGGTCATCTAACCTACTTCTAATAAAGTAGGTTAAGAAAGAGCAGTGGTAGAGCTACCATGTATTTTTGACTGTTCTTTATTATCTTAGTAGTTTCATGCTATGCATGTACCATAACCAACTTATTGCCTATGAGAAACATGTAAGAAATTGTATTTACAGCATTGTTGTAAGTTTATAATGTATATAACATTCAAAAAGAACTTTTTTCCCAATTAAGAAAAAGGTACAAAATGAAAAATCTACAATTTTAATAACTGAAAATTACCAATTGTTTTGTAGTACTTTATTATATTGGGTGTCTTGTCTTTCTTGGGCTTTTTTAGTTAGCTAATGTATGAATACATTAAATACTTTTGTTTTTAGTTGAGATTTTGCATAGCTTGCATGTTTTTGGGTTCTTTGCTATTTCTATTAACTTATAGCATTATTGTAATAAATGTTACAATACCAACTTGAAAGAAAAAAAGAAGAAAGAAAGAAAGGAAGAAAGAAAGAAAGAAAGAAAGAAAGAAAGAAAGAAAGAAAGAAAGAAAGAGAAAGAGAGAAAGAAAGGAGTGAGCAGTGGTGAGGTAGAGAGTTTACAAATAGGTGGTGAGGTTGGAAGACCCAAGAAAGGC